GAAAGAGTGATGTTTGATAAACCATGAGGGGTAAAGGCTAGGACTTTGGAAGCACACAGGGAGTTATTGGACTGCTCTTCCTGCCTTAGGGGACATGGGTTATGTGAACTGAAGGGCTTTTGTGTTCCTGAGTGGAGAATGCAAGTTAACGATTGTCAATCAATTGCTTTGGTCATCAAGGAAGATTGGGCTGAGTGTGGGAAACAGGACAGGGGTCACAGGTAGCAGCCCTTTAAGAAGGAATTTTGGAGAGGACAGAAAAGTCTGCTGTGAGCATGTAGCAGGTATATCTTGTACTAGGCACGCCGTGTGCTGTACATTATTTCTCCTCCATTTTCCTCAGGGAAATTCCAGAAATAATACAAAATCAATCACCCAATCATAATGGACTCCCTAAAGGAATGAGGAGAAGTGACTAAGGTCTGAGCATCAGCAGGCTGAGCCAGACCAGTTCTTGGCGATGAGGAAAGTGGCAGACCTCTGGCTCCCCTCCCCTGCTCCACCCAAACCCACTCCCCCTGCCCCCACAACATTTCTCCTGGGACACAGAGTCAGGAGTGGTGGAGAGGGGGCTGGTTTCATTAAAGGTGTGTTCCTCACTCATCTGGAGCTTTCTCCAAAGTAGGTAAAATTAGCAGAGGCTCCAGTGGAGTCATTAGTGATGCCCTGACTGGATTTTTACTGGGTTTGGACCAAGTTCATCATCTGAGGAATGTTGCAAAAAGTGGCAGTCATATGAACTTTGAAATACAGATCGAGGCAGACTCCAAGGGTATGCTGTGATGGAGGCTAAGTGAATAAAAGCAAGTTGTATTTCAGAGTTAGCTTCGTAAGGGGACTTGTTAAGCTCCTTGACATTTTAACTCTGTGCCTAAAAGTTATTAGGTCTGATATTTGAAGCAGCCATTTCCATTTTAGCATCTCTAAAATATACATAAGTGCCCATTAGGTTCAAAGACAAGATTGCACTTTAGCTCAAAATTAATCTGTAAACACGGGGAAATACAAAATAAAACTATAGCAAAATAACACTACACCCATCAGATTGGTAAAAATTAAAGACTCTGACAAGAACAAATGTTGTCAAAGATGTGGAACAAGGGAATCCTGCCTCCCTGCTGGTGGGCGCACACGGGATGGGATACTTTGGAAAATGGGTGGTAGGATGTGGTGTCACTGTGACTCAGCAATTTCTCCCAGAAAGCCCCCACACAAATGAGTGCTGATGTGCACAGGGTGAATGTGCAAGAACAGTGTTAGTCATCAGCAGCCCTCGAATGAAAACCACCCAGATGTCCATTAGTGGTAGAGCGGATTGAAGAAAATGTGGACTTTTTATAAAATGGGATATTATACAGCAATAAAAGTTAGCTATAGCAACATGATGCAACATGGGCACATCTTAGATATATAACATTGTAAAAAGAAGCCAGACATTACAGAATAATATGATTACAAAGCTCACAAGCAAGTAAAAGGGACTAAATTTCCTTAGGAGGTAAACTACAAGGGGGGTGGGGGAGAAAAACACACACAAATGAGTGAACACCATAAAAGTCAAGATAGTGAGTTCCTGTAGGGAGTTGGAGAGGTCTGAGTAGGTCACTGGGGACGGGTGATGTTCTCTTATTGTGACTTGAATGAGTGGTTAGATACTGGTTTAATGTTCAACAATTTCTTAATTAAATTTATGTCTTATGTTTGTTATTTCAAAATAAAAAAATTTTTTTAAATATATTTTATTGATTTTTTACAGAGAGGAAGGGAGAGGGTCAGAGAGTCAGAAACATCGATGAGAGAGAAACATCGATCAGCTGCCTCCTGCACATCCCCCACTGGGGATGTGCCCACAACCCAGGTACATGTGCTTGCCCGGAATCAAACCTGGGAGCTTTCAGTCCGCAGGCCGACGCTCTATCCACTGAGCCAAACCGGTTTTGGCAATAAAAAAGTTTTAAAAAGAAAAAACTCACAATGATGCAAGGTTCACTGTCTCATTTGGATTTGAGTCCTGCTTAATAAACTAATTAGACTGGCTGGTAATTAT